TTTATTTATATATTTTAACAATTTAAAAAAGTAGATCAGAGCTAAAAAAATACAAAAATGCAGGCAAATTTGCCTGTTTTGGCCTACAATCTAAGGAATAATATAATTAATCATATTTAGCTAGTTTTAAGAATAGTACTAAGAAAATTTCTTGAAATAAAAATTTTATAATATCTAGTATATAGTATACTTTTATTTTAGCTTATGAAAGTGTATTTTAATAAAATTTGAGATAATTGCACAAAAATTAGACAAAAAAATTTTTAGTAAACAAATTTGCTACTAGATAGTTTAAGAAATATAATAAATGATTTTATATACTCTAGTCTTAACAACACTATATACAAAGATTTGCTAAAACAAAGTTAATTTAATTTATAATTTTTATATTGTATAAATTACATTTTTAATATTCTATATAACTATTTAATCCTATCTATATTAAAAAGATAACTTCAAAACTTCTGCTTTAGCTAACCATCTTATACAAGTTAATGTATTATGTTTTTGATCAATTTAGAGTTCTTATTCATTATCTATTTATCTATTTATCTATTAAATATCCAAATCTGAATTTATTCAAAAATCTGTTTATTATTAATATCCAGATAATGATCTGAATATTTGTTAAATTATCTGAATATCAATAGTAAATAGATATCTGGATAAAGAAGTGTGGTGACTTAGTGAAGTTAATAAGTTGTCAACCCTCAAGTAGCAGGTATAGAGTTCAAATTCTAGTGACAGTAAAAAATTTGTAATTTTTTCTGTATTATAGTTAACTGTCTTCCATAATTGATTGGAATAAGATACCTGTAACTCATATCATATCAGCATAACTGGAGGTCTAGGCACTTATACAATGTTATATAAGGAAACACAAACTAGTACCAAGTAATATAAACCCAAAATAAGTCTTTAGGCCATGTAAATCACAGGAACTAGGTAGAAAAATAGAAGCCTATTTGGAAGACCCAAGTAGAGAGATAATCTGAACCTTAGATAATGCTATTATAAAGACTAGAGTTATGAAATAGAGCTAGAACTTGTGAAACTGAGCAAATGTGCTGGTTTTTGAGGAGGGACTGAATGAATCAACCAGGCTGCCAGAATTTCTGTGTTTTAAAAGAAAAGAGTACATGCCAGCAAACATATAAATCAGAGATACAGTCTTGTTCTACTTTTTCAGACTATCTGAAATAACAACTTGGTAGAACTTAAATTAAATACCAAAGTAGTAAGAATATGTTATGAAGTCAGTACTGAGGTTAGAGCAAACTTTACAAGAGCATAGCAGTTTAATAATACACCCTGACTATAAGTGTTGGTCTTGGCTATAGTGATACCAAGTCAGCTATAAGAATGGAATACAGAAGATTCTGGAACATTTAGTACAAGGTCAAAGGTTTCCTATATGAGTGAACTGCTTTAAAGACTTGGTGACTATAGCATATTTTTATTGGCAACAGCCAGAGTTGTTGGTAGGCAGAAATAGATGGATGGATATAGAAACAGAATGATTAAATAGGGAACCTACAAGTGGGTTCCAGGTATGGCAGCTAGTGTAGAACCTTCAGGTGGACTACTTAAATCAGACAATGACTAAAGTTATACAAGTGGCTAGTTATACACTCTTTTTATAGTTGCCCTCTGTGTTTGTAATTCAATCATTAGCCAAATATACTATCAATAAAATCCTGGGTCACAAGTACTCATCTTAATATTTAAAAAAAAAAAATAGATATCTGAATAAATTTGAATATAAATAAATAGATGACAGATTTATTTGAATTGGAACTCTAGATAGATTGATTACTATTTATATCAATAATACAGTTTATCAAATATGTAGATCATTTTTATATTAGGAAAAGCAAATTGTATAAATATGTTATATATATTTGTAAATTATATCTTGCTATATTATAATTTGCTTACTAGTTATCTCAGTAATAAGAATTTTCTAAAAAAGTAAAAAATATTTAAAATTAAACTTTGTAAGTTTTTTATTTGTGCATAACAGTTACATTTTTTATTTTTAAATAATTTATACAATTATCTGTTTCTATTTTAATCAATTAAATAGCATAATTATCAAAAATAATCATATTAATACTGTAGTTACAAGTTATATATATAATGCTAATTAATGAGAAAAATAAAATTAGTTGTTAATATAAAATTATATCAAATGCAGATTCCTAAATTTATTTCTATTTTAGTTTTATATAACAGTGTTATACAGCTACTTTATTAAATATACCAATAATAAATATAATGAGAGTATGGATTATATGATATTTGAAATAGGATTTGATCACATAATTTATTTATCAAATTTGGTTATTTTTTACATATGAATGAATTCATCATGCATATAGATCAATAGATATCATAAAAGTCAAAATATGACCTAGCTGTTGATATATGAAAGATTTGATTATGACCTGAACCAAGATCCTAAACCAAAGCTAAGCCACAGAATTGCGCATATGAAAGTAGCATTTAATAAAATACAATATTGGTTTAGCTTAAGATAAAGCTCATTGAAAACAATTAAATAATAGCTTTATATCATAGCTATATAAATAAATCATTGTAGCTTATAAATTTTCCCTTTCTCCACTTGATACTAAATTTAGTTAAGCTGTATCAAAGTCTCTGCTATATTTCTCTTATATAAAAGTTCTGTAATTTCTGTTAGTAAAAAGACAGTTAAGTAGGCTTTATGCCTCTAACTATTCTCTCAAGAAAAATACTCAATACTTTAGCAACTTGCTTGTGCATTATAAGATTTTGATAATTGTTTCTTATGGAATTGGCTCCTGTAAATGATGCACCATTACGTTTTAAGGAAGAGAACGGCATTGTAAAGTAAAATAGTGGCCTTGAAGATAGATTTAATTACATCCTACTAAATGTGTGAATTTTAAACCACTATCTTAACTATACAATGTTTTTTTTTGCTAAATCACATCCTTTTAGGTGAGGTGCATATCTTTATGCACCAGACTATATTTGACAAAAGACGAAATCTAGTTTGGACTTTTGTCAGTGACAAAACCTTTAGGTGTTATTTAACAACATTACTTAGTACTAAAAAAAAAAAAATTTAACGTAAAATAATAATGTATTCTATGAAAATTTTCTTGACCGATCAAATTCAATCATCGATCGATCAATAATGTCCGTCAACTTGACCAATAATAGTTGTATCAATTCACTATTTATATGAATGATTTGAACTAAATAATTTATCTTTCTTCTTTTGAAGCAAAAATCATTTACGAAAGTTACACATAATCTGCGTTTAATTATCAAAATTCGAACTGAAAGTGTAAAAATATCTTATTTTCTTTTGAAAGACGTAGCGTCACAATCAACCCCTACAAGATGCTAGGACAAGTTTGCAACCTACATTACATATTCAATTGATGACAATATACACATTGTGCTTGCGATGATAATATTACAACTGTAACATAATTTAGACAGACTGCCACGAAAATGTCTGCACTGTAATGAATTAATTCGCAACAATATACACAAATAGTAATCTTCTATTTTAATTTGAATTTTTTCATTTAATTTAATTAAACAGATGTTAAAATGCCTTTATTAAATTTCGAAAATTTCGTTAAAACAAAGATCCACCATATTTTTTTAAAAACTTTAAATACATTCAAAATATATTTTAATCGATAATCTACATGGAGTAAACAAATTATATAAAAAATTCTATAGCGATAACATTAGTGACAGAGCGATATGAAGCAATTCATCATCCAAAATTTTTTAGTTCAGTATAAATTTTCAATAGCAAATACATTAAAACAGAACTTATATAAATATACATGCCAAAATTTACATAATTTTAAAACAATAAATTAAAAATCATAACGGCTCATTTAATTTATTCAATATATCAATTGCTTGTGGGTCATTTTCTTGAGCTGCAAACTTCAAATACTTTAAGCCAAGCTCTTTATTTTGGACAACTTTAAGTTTTCCTTTAACATAAATATCACCTAAATTCCGCATTGCATCAGTATGCTTGTTATCAGCAGATAATTTTAAATAATGTAGAAACTCTCTACGTATTCTTTCGTTTTTAATTCCAGGATACAAAGAAACAGCATACCGATATTGGGCATCGGGAATATCATTATCAGCAGCTTCTTTAAAAAGTAGGTTTGCTTGCTCTTTATTCTGTACAACAAAATACCCTTCATACAAGTAATAACCTTTCCAGTATTTTGCCAGTGGATCACCAAGCTTAGCATTGTCTTCAAAACATTTCCAGGCGTCCTCAAAACTTCTATTTCGATGAAGTTTAATTCCTTCCTCAAGAGACTTTACAGGATCAATTAATTCTTCATCAGTAATTGAAAATTCATCACTGAATTTTGGCAGCAATGAATTTTTGTTTTTTGAGGTAATAGTTCCATCAAAGTCTAACGAGTTATTGGGTAAAAGACTGGAAGGAGCAGGCGAAGTAATAGGGATTGGATAAGCTATTGCTAATCCTTCAAGTTTTTCAAACAGATTTGTAATACCTATTCTCTGGTGTGGTACATGTTGCCATGCTATTCGTTAATTAGGAACAAAGTAACTATGATTATAAAAATGTACAGCATAAATAATTATTAAGAAAAAAATGAAAATTTAAACATATTAATTACCACTATCAATAATTTTAATAAACTCTTTTTGAATCACCTCGTCATTAGGATTATTGAATTTTCCGAATAAAAGTTTTTCACGTTTACCACTTAAAACATAGGTTGGTGTTTCTTTGAAAGTCAAATTAGCATACGGAATCTTTTCATAACAAAGCTCCCAAATAAGCATTCCGAAACTAAAAAGATAAAGATCAAAATATAGACCTAAATATTTTACCATGTAACTCGGATTTTATATTGTAAAAGAATATATTAATTCGCAAATACCTGAAAATTTCACAATTAAAAGTATAACGTTTTTTATGTTTTGCAAAATCCGGGTCCTGATATTTCTCTATTTGTTCAGGAGCCATCCAGCGAATAACATTGATTAATTGATCGGAAAGATTAGTAGTATTATCTCCATTCGTCTCACGAGCATATTTAAAATTTCCAAGTTTTGGATCCAAGCCTCGTGTTACCTATAATATGATATCAAAAATTAGGTTTAGCAGTTAATTGATTACATAACAATAATCTAGCCAATACTTCAATTATAATTATATACGTACCAAAACATTTTCACATCTAATATCATGATGGAAAATATTTACTTCACGCAAGAATAAGATGGCACGACAAATATCACGAATCATTTGTATTTTTCTAGTCCAAGCGATATCATAATTGTCATAAAGATCTTTTAAGCTTCTATGTTCAGCCCATTCAGATACCATAACTTCACGGTTGTCAATATATGATAGACCATAAAAGCGGAGAATGTTTGGAGATAAACTTAACTTTCCGAGGATTGTTAATTCACCTTGACGTTTTTTAGAATCATCAATAGGTTTACAAGCGACCTCAAAACCTTTATAAAATTTTTTATGGAGAGGACGATGTAAACCACGCAAGTCGGCACTTTCTGGATGGGGAGGATTAACTAGTTCCTTTGCATCAATTGTTGGCACAGTGATTTCGCCAGATTGCTTTTTATCAATTTGAGATTTTATGATGGAAATTTCTTGAACTACCATATCTATTTTACCTCCAATACCACTTTCAAGATTTTCAATTTTGTTAGTGGCATTTTCAATATCATCCCCAAGTTTTTCTAACTTAGTAGCTGCATTCTCAATACCATCTTCAAGTTTCTCAAGAGTCTAAAATTAACAAGCATCTTAATAAATCTATAATATTAATATTAATATATAATTATAATTGTACACACCTCTTCGATATCTTTTAAATATTGGTTAACTTTTTGAGATTCTACATCCCTTTCTTCTTTACTAGCAACCGCAAGAGCAAAATGTAAATCTTTCATACAAGTATCATATTCTTTAGTCAAATTATCATATTGAAATTTAACATTTGTTGCACTAAAAAATTTTCTATAGCCTTTAAGCTTCGAAACTTTAATTGTAAAATCTTTGATATTTTTCAAATTGATTTCAAATCTTTTAAACGCAAAAAAATAGTCCTGTTGACAAAAATATTTTTCATTCTCTTCTTTTCTTCTCATCATTTTATCCATAGCAAATTCTGCAGTCTTAACTCTCTCTACCATTATTAAACAAATTTCTTTGTTACATTCTGAATCCTCATAAACTTGATATATCTTTTGAAATAATACTGTTATCGAATTGATTACTGGAATGTAACAACTCATTACTTCGGTAGTAGTTTTAATGGTAGATAGTGCCACATCTTTAAAGGTTGGAATTAAATCCGGTACTTTGGATTCTTTTTCGTCTTTAGAGCTTGGATTTACGCCTGGTACAGTGGTTTCTTTTTCATATTTGACAGAATTTTCTTCTAACATTATATAAATATTTAAAAATTGATTATCGATGAATTAAATAAAATAAATATATATATAATTTTTTATAACCAAAATTTTAAACATTCTCTTTTATGCACGCTTAAAATTTGAATTGTGCATAATGATAAACAGCTACTGATTCCTGTTTAAATTATTAAATGTTTCACACAAATTTACAATTTGTCTTTTTTTAACGAAAAGTGTAACTTAAACCTCTATTTTGTCATAATGATAAGATATATATATATATTTTAATAAGCCTTGAATCAAAATCAAATTACAATTAAAATAAGTGTCTATTATGAGATTACATGAATATTATAATAAATGTAAGTTTAATTTTCGAATCCAGGCTAAGCTATCGAAATGTTACTATGCACAATTACATACACATTAAAATGAAGCTTCCGAAATAAGAATACATGAAAGAATGTACGTTAGTAGTGTTCCAAATCGTTAGTTGAAAAACCAACTAGTTGACAACTTTTCAACTAATCGATTTGAAAAAAATTTAAA